ACAATTATTCCTGACTATAGCCCCTTTAAAACCAACCTACTCTCCTGACAAAGTAATAGCTATCTCCTTTCCTCAGTATCCTGAGTAACACTAACCAGCCACAGATTTTGGGGAAGAGCCTACAATCCTGTATTAGACATTTGGACAGTAACATTAACAGAACTGGCATTAAGAGAGAGACAGCCAGTTTCAAACTAACACAACTAGTTTAGTAATAATGGAAAATAGGAAAAAAGCAGCAGCAGCAGCAGAAGTCCGTGGTCTCATGTCTTTAAATAACGAGGTGGAAAGTGCTGTGCACCAAGAGTAGGACAAGACACCTAAGGAATAAGGCTGAGAAGCCAGGATAAAGACAAGTGTGGAATTACCCCCATTAATAAGATTGATTTGTTTTTTAAGAACCTCATGTGAATCTACCTGTGGCTCTCTGTTCTCTGCAGTATTCCACATCTCCAAGGCATGAAGAAATTTGCTCCAACTCCAGATAACTGTACATTCAAGTTAGGTGCAAGGTCTCCCCACTCTAGAAAATAATATAGGCATTCAAGCTCTTTCTGTTTATCCTCACTTCTGAAAAGGAAAGTTCTAATAACGAATTAAACTCTTGTCTAACCTTGGCTATTTTTGGGGCATCCCACTAAAACTTGAAAAGAGATTCCTTCTCAAGCTCTGTCTCATTACATGTTCATCTCACCTGATCAAGAGGAACTACACAGATTTGCAATATGGTCTCAAGCAGACTCCTTTTTCATGTATGTGATTGCAGAAAGCCTCCATATGGATAAGGGAACTGCCCCATGAGTACATTAGCCCCTGGGGCAGTTACTACCCCTGGTCAATAAGAAAGGCATGCAGGAAAATGGTGTAACTTCCAAACTGAGCACTAGAGAGAATGTTTTTGGGGGTGCCATGGATGTTTTCTTATGTTTTTTTTTTCCTGCAAGTGGGAAAAAAGACACCTTAAGGAACACAGACAAACCAAAGAACTCAGGTCCTGGTAATAACACTTGATATAATCACATCCCACTTCACTGTGCAAATCTCTGGAGACAAACTGCACCCAAGAATTAAGAGACTCCCTTTCAGGTGGAGGGGGGAATACATACAGATGTGAAGTTTTCAAGTTGTTTCCCCCTTTGAAAAGCCCTAAAGTTTGGGCTTCAAGTTGACTCAATTAAGAGAAAGAAATGTGAATGCCACCATTATTGTTCTCAAAGCTCATTCAGTTATACTCTGTCCACTAAGAGCTCCTGACAGGAGGAAGATCTATCACTGGAAGGCTATCAGGATATGCCAGCACAATGCCTGGGTGCCAGAGCTGAACAGAACAGGCCACATGGAATTGGTCCCCCTTCACCAAGCAAGATTTTGAAACAAACAGCTATGGGCTTTTTTGGGGTTTTTTTCTTTTTTTTTTTTGAACTAGGCACAGCACAGAGAAACCTGTTTTCAGCTGCTAACCTTAATATATTACTCATTCTTCCTTTCAAATAACGTCATTTTCAAAACCCCAGTGACTGAAGAATATTTACTTGAGGCTGCTACTGCTGGTTTCTCCAGAGCTGTTTATTTTTCCATGCAGGGGCTCATTACATCATTCTGTGGTTTTCTTAAAGGTTGTCACGGTAAGCTGGATACAGGCTGGAAACTCTTGCTAACTAAAACCAAATCACTAAGTAGCACAAATGAATTTGGAGATAACCCAACTCTTGAAGTGAGGAAAATCCCTGGATTCCTCAGTGGAGATGGGGTGCTCCTAACCAAGCAGCCATTAGATTTCTTGGAAGTGGAAAACATTATCAAATGCTTCCCTAGATTAAGAACTTAAGAAAAAATAATCACTTTAATTGTTTCAGGGTGAAATAGGCTGGGGGTGAGGGAAAGAGGCCATAACAGTAAAAGTAGAATGAAAAAGTTGCTAGCCATGCTGATTAGAGAACAGCCATTGCAAGAACCCCACCTGAATCACCTCCTGCCCTGGCAGTATTAAAACAACACATTACAGAGAGCAGTAACCAGGTAACTGTCTTGGTTAGCTTAAGGTGTCCATGTACATGCACATGTGGATGTGCGTGTTTGGGAAAGGGGAGAAGCAGCAAAAAATATTTTTGTCATCTTGCCACAACAATATTGTGTTGATCTAGACCTTTCACTTGCCCCAGAAAGAAAAATTTGGTACTTGCAGGATTCATACAGATAGAAAATGTAGTTTTTAAGTGCAGAAAAACCAACTTTTCTGCTGTGCAACAGTCCAGATGTTCATATTTTGGTTCCTGCCTCTGGCTGAGAAGGTTTGAACCTGCATCTCACACTCCTGAGAAAAGGGTGCCATTTAATTCTTTAAGGTGGGCTGGGGTAACAGCACTAGCAATCCCTCCTAGCAATGCTCTTTTACTGAGCACAGAAAAACTCATTGGCAAAATGCCTGGAGACATATAGATTCTCAGTCAAGTGCTCTAATCACCAGGCTGGAGTCATTCTGCTTTTCCTGATTCCTAGCTTAATTAGGATTTACACATGCCAAACAAAATGTAAGTGCTCCAAAAAAAGAGATCAGTTTCAGAAGAACCTCTTCTGTTTGTCAACACTAAACAGAAGATGGAATACTCAGATTTCAAATGCAGCACTCACAGGATACAGGCAGCATGTATTACATGGGGTGCCACCAGCTCTGCAATGCTCAGCTGCCTAGTGGGTGGCTCACCTAACACTGACCAGAGACAATGACAGCAAGCTAAAGAGTCTATTTGACTCCATATAGCAATTCTGAAATTCTCCTCATGGTTGACATAGCAATGGTGCTTGCTTTCCAAGATGTCCAGTGACAGTGCTGATTAGAGAACAGCACACATCCTTTGACAGCAGTATCGGAAAAGGACAGGGCCAGATAATCACCACAGGGAGAAGAGAGATCAGAGCTAAGTGTTTCACTATACAAACTCCAAGGAATAGGAAGTAAAAGAAGAGTTATGCTGGATATTACAAAAAGAAAAAAAATCTGAGATTGAATTCAGAGAGCAGAGCAATTTCCGTTGGGGAGAAATAAAATCTTTATTATCTAAGGCATTTATGGTACAGTAGAAAATGCTGCTCTCCTTACAGTATAAACATTCACTAGCCCTAAGGCAGTAGATTAGATAACCTACCAGGTCTTTACTCTTTTTTCTCACTTCCAATTTCAATGATTCCAATTAAACTGCTGCAAAAGCATACAAGGGTATATCTGCTCCAAGACTGTAAGTGTAAGCTTGGATAGACAATACAGCTGAGGCAACAACAAACTGAAGAATCTAAATCTTGTGCTAGCAAAATTTATCCTAACCCTCTAAAAATAAATTTTTAAAATGGAAATGTGCTAAGCATTAGCATTTCAAGTTGGGCCAAAGGCAATTAAAAACATCCCCCAGTTTTGCATGCCCATTTCATGACAGCTGTTTCATCATCTACAGCCAAGATAGACTCGAAGACACTTGAAGAAACATGATTCTAAATGATAATTATCCCCCCCAGTTCTCTGCAGTTTGATCTACCTACTGTACATTGCCTTTAACATATATTACAAGGGATGAAAAGAATGAAAGATACCAAACAGGGTGACTAGGCTTCACTTTTTGAAAGAAAAAGGCTGAAGTAGCCCACACTTTATAACACCTAAACCATAGCTCTAGGCAGCATTTCTTAATAATTTGTAAGAAACTGAAATGGATGTGTATCTGTATGGCCCAGTGGGGAAATTTGGGGATAAAAGTTGGCAACTCAGCCTTTTAATGAGACCCTACAGTAAGTGAGCATCAGAGCAATCAGTAAGGCTGAGTCAGATGAACCACATGTCTCCTTTTAGCTTGCTGTATAAACCACCTTTTACACAGCTCTTGAATTTTCCACATGATCATTTCTCATTTGTAGCATGCACTCACAATAATTTTGTTTAAGTAACAGAACTGACATCAGAAACAATTGAAAAAAGTGAGCAAAAGCAAAGTCACACAAGGAACCCTTCTGTGGACAAAATTCCAGTTCACATCAGGCAGCTTCTTGACTAAACAATCAAAGTGATTGCCTTTACAACATGAAAGCCAGCCTACTTCGGCTCTGTCAGGCCAAGAAAGGGTGGAAGACAGACCCTCCTACTCCCAAGTCCCTTTGCAACCCCTTAGCATTCACTCTTCTTTCCATTACAGCTATGAGGTTTTCTGTATTAGAAGGAAAGTTGGTTTCCAAGATAGGTAGGACCCATTATAAAGGATTTTAATATTACACTGTCACCTTCAATTATACTGCCAGTTGCTGGTTGTCCCAGCAGCTGACAAAAACCAGAAGCTGTGTTTGCTCTCCCCTGAAAGACACCCTTAAAGAAGGATGCTGATATTCACATATTAATTTCCAATCTCAAATTTTACACTCTGACTTCATGTCTTCCTTCTTCCCCTTTTCCCGCTCATGTTCATGATCGCTTCTTTGCTGTTTTTTAGGCTTTGGTCTTCCCCCATCCACTCCACTACCCACAAAACAATCTCAACATTTTTGTAGGCTCACACACAATTAAACCACCTTCAGTTGTGAAATAATCTGCTCATTTCTCTATCAAAAAATATCCCCTGCAGAGAAGAACCTTGAATTCACTAGCAAAAAAGCCCCTTTTTGTATTTTTTGCAACTGCTTAGACCAAAACAACAGCCCAGATTTTTTAGCCAAATGCCTCAGTTCATATATCCATGCTGAACAGCAAACAGAATAAAGATGACAGATGACTAAAATGAATTAACAGATTAAGAAATTAAGAGATTCCCCAGTTACGGTTTGTGGAAACAAACATGCTTCATCACACATTGATTATGGCCCTTTGGCCACAATAAAGGACCTTATCTGAAATTACTTTGTAGCCTGGGCTGCAAGTAACCCTAGGAGCTTGATAGCTACAATGAAGAAAGAATGAAACAAAACAGATGTGAGGAGCGGCAGACTAGTTAAAACAATAATTTTTTTAGATGGAACCTTACCTGAATTCCTTATATTAGAGCTGTTCATTTTGGAATCTTTGATGACCAAGTGTTTAATCCAAAGGGTGGGTGCTGTGATTTCTGAAAGAATAAAAATAACAGCCTTAAAGAAACTGCAGCAACTAGTAAAATTATACATGCTAGTTACTCAGAATCACTGAATGGTTTGGGCTGGAAGGGACCTTAAAGAACATCTTATTCTAACCCCCCTGCCACGGGTAGGGACAGCTTCCACTAGACCAGGTTGCTCCAAGCCCCATCCAACCGGGTCTTGAATACTTCCAATGATGGGGCAGCCACAGCTTCTCAGGGCAACCTGTTCCAGTGCCTGACCACCCCACAGTAAAGAGGTTTTTCCCTCATACCTAATCCAAACCAACTCTCTTTCACTTCAAAGCTGTTCCCCCTTATCCTGTCACTACATGCTCTTGTAAAAAGCCCCTCTCCAGCTCTCTTGTAGGCTGGCTTCAGGGACTGGAAGGTGCTAGAAGGTGTCTTCTGAACAACCTCAACTCTCTCAGTCTCTCTTCATAGAAAACAAGATGTTAGCCACAATCATGCCATAACAAATCTATCATCTTTGTACCAACAGGTTCATCCCCTGGTGAGGTCTTCCAACTCTTATGAACCACCATTTGTAAATCTTCCACAACGTATCTCTCATTATCTTCCTGTTTCAGAAAGTATATCTCTGCTGGCAAAACTCTTTCTTTCCTCCCTCTAATCCCCACTTCCTAAATTCTCAAAAAGCCTTTTTCCTCAAGACTCAGAGATCACAAACATTGCATTGGGTGCCATAGTATATGCTATTTCCCCCAGAAATCCAGATTTTAAACAGTCAATTCAGACCTTAAATATTGTTTTAACAGCCCAAGAAGGTCTGGCCCCAGTCAGTTCCCTAAAACAAGCAACAACAAAATCTGAAATAAATAGGCAGAGACATGAAGATATTTCTGGAAAGACTTGAAAGGAAGTCTGTTAAAGAAATAGGTTTTGGTTAGAAAAGCATGTCTGATGCACTAACCAAGACATTCAAACATAAATTTTGGAAAAAAAGTGCTTAGAGCACCTCCTCTGAGGTGTTATAATCAACTTCAAAACATATCTGAACCTGCCTTAAGCCACAGAAATTACATAACCTCAGCATTTGATTAGAACTGAGCAAAGCAGTACTTGCTATCATGGGCTAGAGCACCTCATGTGACATTTTCAGGACTGATACTTTCTGAAAAAAAATTCAGTTTCCACTTCCTCTAAGAACTTTTCACAGGAGTTTTCTTGCTTCCTTTTTGACATTTACATGGATCTGCTCAGCAAAGGGAGAAGCTGGCTGAGTAAAGAGAAACTGATTATAAATTAAAAGAACATGGGAAAAAAAAAGAAAATTAATTTCTCCTTCCTAAATATTTTCAGCCACATTGATTGAAGGCATCATAGTAATTGTGTTTAGGGCATTTTTTTCACAAGGAAGTATTGATTGAACACTGTTAAACAAACTTTTACTGCTGCTGGAATACAAAAAACTGTCTTATCTGCTAGTTTCACTACACTATTTTATCAACATTCAGCCATCATATGCTTCTATAAATACATACACCTACATGCTTTGGTTTAATGACTATTTCTACTTGTGTGCTTCTCCCCTTCCTAGTTCTTACCCAAAGTTTAATTTGAGGTAGTTCTCCCCAAAAGGGGCTTAAACTCCTAAATCTGGGATGAAATTTAGCTCTGACTCTGCACCATATGGACCAGGTATGTTTACAGCTGAAAAATGAGGGACAATCAAAGTCAATAGATGCTGAAGAATGATGAAGGCCTTTAGAAATACAATGGTGTACATCTTTCAGTGAGGCTGAAAGGTCTACAAAAAGCAATTCTGTGAAAAAGAGAAATATAAAGAAAAGGAAATTAATTCCTTGGAATCTACCATAAAAATGTATTTTCAATCCAAGTAACCTGGCTATCTTTTTGGATTACAGGCACCTCTGAACAACAGATCTGTGGAAAGAGTGGATTCCCACTTTGAATTAAGAGGCAAAGTTTACCAAAAAGAAGAGATGTGTAAAAAATATATCTTTAGGAAATTATTACTCCTTGCACATGGAAACTAAAGAGATGGTGAAAACAAAATAAGAGAGCCTAGAAGTTCAGGAGAGAGTATAACATTTTAAAACTATACCAAGGACATTAATAAAACACTCTTCAGCAGAGGAGAATCTTGTCCTAAAAAAAGATTCACTATAAACATCTCTAAGATCTGCATTATAATAATATGAAATAATTTTTAGAGAGATGGCTGTGTTATGATTCAAACCTTGGATGGGAGAATTTAAGTTATCTGATTGACATTATCTCTGGCACTGCTCTGTTATGCCCTCAGGGCAGATGGTAGGGAGTGGGAGGGGAACTTATGCATGAAATGTGAATTTTCATTATCCTCTAATGTAGATGAAAACATGGGAAAGGTGAATCTTCATCTTAGAGTTGCTGAAGTCCAAGAGTTATCACACATTTCAGGGACAGCTGAGTGTATGTAATGCCCTTTGAAAAAATTCAGCCTCTTGTGTATGGAAGGTACCAAAGGCAAAACATGAAAGAAACCCTACATGGTTATTGTTCATTCATGTTGGTACCAGCTCCACCCTGGCTGCCTGGCCTCGAATATATAGGTTTACAGGAACCCATCAGTTCTCAAATTCACTGAAGTGGAATGGGATCTAAAATTTAATGCCTTTGAACATCTATGAAGATTTCAGACCTGACAGGTGAATGGATAACTGTTTTGCTCTTTTCTGTCATTTGTGTCAGATATCGAGTACAAGCCATTCCTCAGGAAGACCTACCCAAGCCACTGGGAGAGTCTTCTAGTGAAGTATCACAACATGTTCGCTCAGATAGGATCAAGGGATTGTTCAGGATGACATCCTGAGGTGTCTGGTCCAACCTTCTGCTCCAGACAGGGTCAGCTCCAAGAACAGAGCAGGTTGCTCAGGACTTTAAAATCTTTAAAATATCCTGAGCTGGAAGGGACCCACAAGAACCATTAGAGTCCAACTCCTGGTGCTGCACAAGACACCCCAAGAATCACACCATTAATTTTTTATTCTTACAGCCACCACCGAAATCTACTCAGTCCTATTTTACTAATAGAGATGACAAAATACAGAGTGACAAATTTAGAAGAGATTATTCATCATTATCCTCTGATTACCTGCCTGTCCGTCTGTTCTCCAGAGTCACAAGGGACACTGCTAATACAATAGGAGGCCATGGCACTAGTCATGCTCTCTCAAAGTCTAGGAAATAAGGTCTTGAATAATATATTGCAATGTTTTTGAGAGCCAATCTTTCATCATTCATTCTAAGCCCATTTATCAGACTGGAGTTCACCTATAAATCAATGTGAAGAGTTTTGATTGAAAACGTTTTTCATGGAAGGTAGAATAACACTTTTTTCAGATTCTGCCATCACCAGAAGAACCAGAAAAGGTGTGTTCACTACACCACTTCAAGAACTTTGTCCACTTCTATTTGAATGACCAAAATGTTTAAACTCTCCTAGAAGGAGCTTCTGACCAGGCTGTACTAACCACATCACCTCACTGCTGCATTCTACTAGCACATTCTTTCCTTTAAATATCTGTGGGTACCCTCTCAGGGGAAAACTTCTAAGGTCAGAAGTTTGTGATTGCCAACAGTAATTTAATACAATATCAGCTTACTGCCAGAAGGAACCCTCTTTTGATATAAACAAGAGAAAGCCAGCATGGCTTCAGTCTCCTTTGTTTATTTGAGAGTGTTTTTTCTCTGAGAGCTTTACTGTTTCTTAAAGCTCACAAGAAGATTGTTACAAATCTATGATCACTAAATGCAAAGTGATAGGACTACAGCATCTTGCCATTAAATATGTTTATTTTAGCAACAATAAAACCCACCACAGCACCCGTTTCTACAAGAAAGCAGGAAATATCAATAGAAAAGTAGCTCCTGCTCTTGCTCAGTAGTCTCCATTTCTGCCTTTGATCCAGCTTAAAAAAGGCATGAAGTACAGCAGTGCCCTATGAAAACGTATAGGCTTTCCCTCACTGCCTTATGGTCTACAGTTTCAGATGGGTCACGGAGTGCTTCATACTTCAGCCCATAGCTTCACTATAATGGTTGTGGATTTAAACCTGTAGAAAACAGGCACTGCTTCCAAGCAATATTCAAGATAAAAGCAGCTTCTGTAAGGCCTATTCACTACCAAAGGAGCACTATTCCCACTGGTATTTATGTTTGTATGTGTAAAAGGCTTGAACCCTCTGTGATGTCAGCCATTTTATCCTTGTTTAAAGGCTTCCAATAGACTAAGGTCTGATATTCCCTCTCCAAAATAATACAATTGCAAGATTGCCTATTTGAGAAGGAAACTGCCTGGGTGGGCCATGAATTAAAGTGGGCCCAGGACAATGACTTCATTTGCTTAAATAGTATGTGCGTCAATGAAAGCATTTGCTAAATAAAGAAACCTCCCAGCAATTTTCTTCCAAGTCAACATTCACATGCTGTGGTTTAGCATTACCCTTCCTTTTGTGAAGCTCTAACACACTGCAGAGGTTATGAAACTCCCAGTATTAGAATCATCTGAGTGGAGATAGCAAGGGGGTAAGGACAGTCTAAAGGAAGCGGCCTCTTCTGATTGGATGCACCTTTTTTTTACTTGCAGGGACACACTTTTTCCTCCAAGATTACACCCAGAGTCTGATCAACTGGTGTTATTGCTAGATTCCAGAAAAGTGGGGAGGATGTAAAAGGATTAGAGAAAATGCCTGAGGTCCCAAGGGCACTCTAAAATTTTGATAATTTATGAGATTCACTGGCTTGTCTGCTTTGCAGGATATAGAAAGCATTTGAACCATAAATCCTAGAGAAAAGGGAGAGAGAAGTAGCTTTTTTTGTTGTTATTTTAAGGGATGTTCTTACCTTCTCCATCGAAAATAGGCTGGGTTTCCATCGTAGGCGTTGGCTTCGAACCATCATCTGAATTGAGGGTTAGAAAGAATCGAAAAGAAACTACCATTATTGAGGTAAATACTATCTACTCTCCAGTACTGTTGAATGATTGGGATTTGTACATGGCCCGGCCAAGTCCAGGAAAGAGAGAAGACAGACAGAACAAAATCATATTGCTAAAAGCAGTAACATTTTACATTAAATATGCATCAAGCCCTTTTGGTACACTTAAAAAGCCTCCCCCCTCCCTCCTCAAACCACTGGTGTTTATCACCTGATAGTCTCCCCAGAAGGCAATTAATTGCCTTTTTAGTTTCAGGTCAGTTTAGTTTTACACTAAGTTTTACGCTACTCAGGCCATTTCCTGAGACAGCAAAGGTTCTGGAGATTTCTGTCCTATTGTGTCTTTTTTTTTTTTTTCCTCACTCCTTTTACTCAAAAGAAAAATTCTTCTGAAACTTACCTGTGTAGAACTGGCACCAGTATTTACTGCAGAGGTGTTAGAATGGGATGGTCAATAGCAAATCTTTTTTATTCACAATCTCTGCATCAAGGTGTTCTCTAATTGCAATGTGGTGGCAATGTCTTCCAATGGAAAATTGTGGAACAATAATTTCTCTTACATTAGGTTTAGGTTTAGTTGAGTCTGTGTTGCCCATGACAGTATTTGGTGAGTGATCTCTCCTGGACCTTATCTCACAAACTTTTGATACATTTTCTCCCCTATCCAGTTGCAGAGCAGAGTGACAGAGCAGCTTTGGTGGGTGCCTAGCTTCTAGCCAGGGTCAGCCTACTACACCTAGAATTGTGTTTTTTTCCTGTTGGAAATACAGTGACTTAAAACCTTCAATTTCTAGTAACTATTCTTTGCATATGTTATTGGCAAGAAAGACACTAAGCAGCAAAGTGGGCAGCACCCTCAAATGCAAAGTAGCACAGTGAACATCTGTTGGAGAGAGGAGTCCATGCCAGAAAAGCCAGGCTTGCCTCTATCTCCATGACCATCAGATGCACAGGGCAAACACTCTTTGGAGGAAACATATATGGGACAGTCCTTCCTAGAGGAAGCAATAACTGCCCTTAGCCTTCTCTTATATCCACTCCATTTACAAGAGTAATAGACCATTGGAAGAGGAAGGGAAGGGCAGAGATGGAAAACAGAAGCTTGTAGACTTTTTCCACCCATACCTGTATTTGCAGTTTTTTTAGGAGAAGCTTGAATACCTCTTCCACAGTTAATTTATTTTATGCATTTCCACACAAAGTAGTCTAGTTCACAGAAAACAAAAACATGCTGATAATTCCATTTCAACCTCAGAGATCCACTTAAGTAAAGGACATTGACAGAAATGAGAGAGACACCCTGTTGTCATGTTCCTCTTCATCACTGCATTTGGTTTTATGCTAAACTACAAGTGTAACAAAAAATACTTGGAAGAACAAATACTTACCATTCCTCAGTCAGCTCTTGTTCTGAGCTTTTCTGTTATTGGGCATTACCAGTAACCTGGATAAGCAGTATTTATTTTTTTTAAAGTTTGAGCAATGGATTTTTAAAAAATCCTGAATACTTCTTAAATTACAAGGAGGAAGGTTTTGCCCTTTAAAGGCTCTTTGGATAGAAGTAAATAACTGATCTTCCCTTTTTATGTTAGAATAGGTTGCTCTGCTTTTGCAAGACTACAGGAGCCACAGCTATGGCTTGTTATTTATTTAGGATGGCACTTTACAATGAAATGAAGCAGTGAACAGAATGTAATTAGCATGACTGGCTTTAAAGATTGAGAAACCAACCCCAAACTGCTGAAGACACTCATAGAACAACTAGAAAGGTGAATAATTCTCAAGTTATACAAAATAGGAAGAGACCTGGTGTTTAAAAAAGACCAGTGCAATAATAAGTTTCTTATTGCTCTCATGAATGCTTCTGCACCAAGTAATCACAGAATTGCTTTTCAGATTTAAAGCAGCAACCTGGAAGCCAACAATGGGGGAAAATTAGAAGTGGATCTGAGCCACAGCACTTGATCCAAATCATTACCTGAAATTTGGCAGAACACAGGATGTTTCAGGTTCAGGGGGATTCTTTCACATTCATGTATGTGCAAGGAACACAGCAGCAACTACAATTTGTCAAATACATTCTTCTTAAAGAGAGTTCTGCAGCAGCTTTTGTATGAAGTTAGCCATTAAGCTACTGGAGAGTATTAAACAAACCCTTCAGTTAAAAGCTATTGTTTAGGATAATCTCAGTAAAATGGCTCAATGGATTACACAATCATTTCCTTACTGGATTACTAAGGCCAAATTGTCACTAAGTCCACATTGTAGCAGCACCCAGCACAGTATTAAGGGCTTTGCAAATAGAGAGAAGTATAATTACTCCCCTGTTGTTCAAGGGAGTACAGTTCTTTCATCAGACATACAAGAAAAAAATGCAATAGACAAGAGCTCTGTAATTACATTCACCATATTTCAAAAATCAAAAGCCAGAGATATTTCTGATTGTTTTTTAAAGGTCATGAAATAGTCACATAAAAGACAAAAATTGCACTTCATTAAAAACACCATGCTCACTTCCCAGCTGCCAGCTTCTTACTCTGAAACTACCAATTTTTTTTTCTTAAACTGGAGAATTCTCAGCAAGTCTCAGTGTTCCAAATTAGCTTACATCAAGTTTCACTGCTGTTCCCTCTCGGCAGAAAAGCCACCCTAATACTTGCCTGCTCTTATTTGATTTTTCCTCTCGCTCAATACTCCATTTGTCACACTGAGCATTTGTTCCACTGGCCTGTTTGCTCCTCACAAACAAGGCATAAGTTCTATTTTACATACCTGAAAGTTTCGAAAAAACATTTCGTATTCCTGAAATAAAAATTTCAACATATAACAAAACCCCTCACTATTCCAGAGGCATAAGGTCTCCTGTGATACTATATGAGAAGTACATAATACTGTTACTTTGGGTACAAAGGCAATGAAGTATGTTCACTGGGTACAGTCTCTTCCTTTCTTCAAAGAGCTGTTAAATTCCACACTTTCAAAAGAGGCATGCCACTGCAATAGTTCCTTATACACAGCATGTCACAGAGATTAAAGAGATCAAGTGTTACTTCTTAATCCCTCTAGATAGCAATGCTCCAGATCAGAAATCATATCATTCAGAACCACATCCCTTGGTTGCAGAATATTTTCCGAGCCTTGAGGAGGAGTTCACTGCATACTTCTCTTCCAAGTTTTACAACCCTGCATGAATACCCACTTTCTTTTTCCAAGACCACTGTCTACAGACAGTATCACTCACCAGAATACCTCCTCATGGGATATTTTAAAGCTATAAAACTCCTCCAGTAAGTGTCCTTTTCCTAGGGTACACTTGCAAAAGTTAAGCAGATTTTTCTGGCTCAATTGCTGTCAACTTTAAAATGGTATTTTTATCTTTCCACAGGACAAGAGTGAAACGGGCAGGTCTAAATAAGATTCCCTAAGGCATTTTCACATTAAGGTATCTTGGATATAAATCAGAATTCCACTTCCTCTACTACTGTCAGAAGCTCATAAGCAAGAACAGTTTTTATTGCACTTGACTGACATTGACTTGAAACAGGGACAATTACTTGCACATCCTGATCTACTACTAGTGCTGGGCAAGAAGTCTTTATGCTCTCACTAAAATACCCTTCCCCATGTCTTATCCTTGCAAAACATCCAGCAAGAATCCACATCTGCAATGACTGTAGTGTACACTGGGGTTGAGGGAGAAGGACGACACCTGTTCAAGTCACCATTTTACTCTGAGTGACAAGCACTAAGGCCATGAGCAACTTAGATTTATGTCATGAGAAAAGTAAACTCCTTGACATAAAAAGCATTATTACTATGGAAAAATGTGAAGTAACTGCCTGCTGCTGTGAATCACCATTCTCAACTTAAGCTACCTAATGGAAGCTGTAGAAAGGAGAAAAGTTAGGAGATAAAAGTGATGTACTGAAGGTTGATGTTGCTGGGGAAGCACATAGGTCTTGGACTGCTAATGTGATGATGCAGGTACTCAGATTACGTGCCCAGTGAGTATATTTTTCCTGGGTAGGAGATGTGATGTGGGAGGCTAATGCTGTGTCCTGACTGGAATCCATGAGGCAATGTGTAAACATTACTTCCATTTTGAAGAGCACAGATGTTTATGGAGTCAATCATCTAAGCTGTATACAAAATCTAATCTTTTTTTAAAGTCTATAGCTTGAACATCAATGGTTCCCAGACTTGAGTCAGACAGACAGAATAAGCAGATGACAATTTTAAGTGCATAGCTCTGCTCTGGGAAGAGGTAGCTTTCTTCCAGTGTCAAGTGGCTCCTTCACTAACCATCATCTGGTTTTGGCTGAGTCATTAGAGAGCACAGCTGGAGCTAAATAGGCAACTTAGAGCACAGGGAGCCAGGACAATGAGTGAACTCTTAGCAGGTCCTGTTTGATGCAGCAAAGTCCACCTTCAGCAAACACGTCAAGTCTACAGCAAGAGAGAAGAGCTTTCCTAGGCTCCAGTACTCCTGAGGGACTCAAGTCATACATACTCATTCCTGCAGCTTTAGTAATTCTGGTCAGACAAACAAAGAGCTGCCAGGTCAATTAGGTTCCATGTATCCATGCAGTTCCTGAATCTTGAAGATGCAGTTTTGACTTTGACATTTTTATGTATTACCCCCAGATCCAGAGTATTTTAAAGTATTAAAAAAAAAAAAAAAGAAAAAGAAAAAAGACAACAAAACTTGTGTGCTGTGTTTGCACTACATAGGGTCTTAGACAAAAATACATGTCCCTTCTAGTATTGCAGGGGAGGTGCAAATTGTTGCCTTAACCACAATCCTTCCCTACATTAAATGAAACAATTTCAGCAAGTCACAATTAATTTAATAGTCTATGCAACTTCTGTGTACAGACATATATTGCCAACATAAGTGCAGAAAGTTAGCATTCATGCAAAGAAAATTCTTTCAATCTGGCCAATCAAGGTAAGTTTTTGCAAGCAGCTGAAATAGAAACACACCAGTGCAGATAGAC